CATACTTTTATTTCATTGAGTTTTAATAATTTGTTTGTTTTTTTCTTATTGTGAATCATTTAAAACTTCATAGTCGCATTTTTGTTTCGTGTTTGTTTTCTTTAGGTAGTTAGATACCTAACTACTTACTTATTAATTAAAATTGATAGTCCTGAACATAGGTACTTTAATTTAATTCGTTTTGCTTTCACATTGTTGGTAATTACCTATATTGTTTTAAATTTAAAGGTTTTGCATTTTTAGTTTTGAGTTCGTTTGTTGTCTTTAGGTATATAGATATATCGTTAATTATTTTAAAATTAATATTATATCACAAAAAAAGGAACTGAACATTTTCAGACTCTATCACAAAAAATATCTCAAAAATTTATCCATCATGGGCTAATAATTCAAGTCTCCTTTTTCCAGTATTTGCAACTATATTTATTACTTCTTCAACATTAATGTTCACGTCGTTATGAACATTTATTAACGCAAATCATTTAGTCGGGATTCGGAAGTTGACGACCTTAGCCAGGTTTTAAGCCGTCTTAAAGTCGAAAAATTTCTTTTTCAAAGTTGCTTTTGCAAATAACTACACTGCAAATTGTCCCGCAGTGATCTAAAATATCTATATTTAAGAAAATATTCCAGAATGATTTATTGATTCTACTCACCTCTGAAACTCGAAATTTTAGAAATGGGTATCCTTAATAGCTGTTTTACATTGCCAATTTATTCATCAATAAATTGACGAAGTTCTTTATCAATTAATTCACGAATTTATTGGTAGACAGTGTGGTTTTACACTGCTACAGACTTTGTCAAGTTTTTTGACGTATGATTCAGTTCTACCAATGAATCAAAGAAGCAAATAAATTCAAAAATGTCACCTTTCCATTCATAATTGTAGTGATACAACAGCGGTACCGTTCTGACACATATTACATAAATATTAGTTTTTGTAAATAACAAATCAGTAAAAACAATGCAAAACTAGCACGACGCCACACAATTATTTACATATTCCAATAACATAACCTCATTACTGATCTGAGGCTGGAAATCTGTTGG